GTTGTTAATGCAAATTGTTGATTAGAGATGATTGTGATATATGTAGGCAGAGTCTAGACCGACAGTTTGAGTACGAAACATACTTGCTTTACTTACGAGGTGACTCTTCTCACTAAACTTACCCGAGTGGTAATTAATGTGCGACCGGAGGGTCTTATCTGTGTTATCGACCGGAGGGTCTTATGTGCTTATACTGAGATATGTGATATTATGCATTCTGTCTTTGTGATTTATGTTGTATATTATTATGTGCATTTATTGAGATAGGACCAGAGGGTCCAAACCGAGTTGTAAGACTGGAGGGTTCTCACTGAGATACAGGACTGGAGGGTCCAACCCGAGCCGTGAGACCGGAGGACTAAGACACATGACCGGAGGGTCCTTATCGAGATATAGCCATGAGAAGCTAATTATTTGTGTATGGTATTTTTGGGAACTCACTAATATTTGTGCTTACAGTGTTGTGTGAAATGTTTTTCAGGTACATCTCAGGATCGTGGGAAGGCGCCGGCATGAATGTACACACCAGCTTATTCTTTTATGTTTTGAGGATTATGGGATATGAGACAAACAGTTTTTGTGGTTGTGTTTTGAAACATTTATGATTTGAGTATTAGATGTTAAACCGTGTTTTGTGTGGAATTAAAAATGAAAATTTTATTCTGAAAATTTAGAGTGTTACATGATTCGATATGACCACTAAGTTCGGAATAATATTTATCTTCACAGTCATTATCGAAAAAAAGGTAATGATGGAAACGAACAAAATATCTCAACTTCTTAGAGGCTTAGTAACCGTGTGACTTTCCCTGATCCAAGTGTCAGTTATGTGCTTCTGGTAGTATACGCCTCTACTACCTTTCATACCTACTCATACTCGTCCCAAGTATTGTCTCGCAGTTTACTAAGTTATCATAAAAAGGAAATCACACAGAAAACACATAACATAATGTAGGAAATTGCATTATCTCCGAAAACGCACTACTAGAAAAATACCCTTTAATGACGCGCAAAGCATGACACGCACTGTTTTACGATACGTAAAAGTGTGTGCCCTAAATAATGTCAGATCTCCCAAAATGTGAAGGATTTAGGACGCGTATTTTTGCGTGCCCTAAAATTGGTGTTACAAAAAAAACACGGAGGGCACCTTTCATTAAAAGAGCGTCGTGAAATCATGTCGTTTTATATATTTTTTTTTTTAATGAAACGCGCACATCTTCATCTTTAGTAGCGGGAAAAGGAATTCCCCAAAAATTACAAAAGTTGAAAACCCGCCATGGCGATTTAGGCCTGGTTCCGTCTCCATCTCTCGTTCACTTCTATCTCCACTTTCTCTTCCATCTACAATCTCTCTTCCATCACCCACCTCACCGGAGATGAAGGTTTCTCGTGATTGTTTGTTGTACTTACAAGCCCTAGATCCGATTTCAACAAAAATCTCATTCGATTAACACAATTCATCAAACCCTAGAATCGTAAAGGAAACCTAGCCACCATAGCTTTCTTCACAGTTCAAAGAAGTTATCAAAGAGAAAGGTATTTAGATGTTGGGTCAAGTTCTTCCTACACCCCAAAAGAATCAAATAAAGAAATAGCACCCTAGAAGGTAAACCTTCATCTTCCGTTCTTTTCTGCTTCACAGGTCTTAGTCCGGAAAGCTTCAGTTGCCTGCCTTTCTTTAATAAGTGAATTGGTCGGAGGAAATTCTTTTAGCTCCGGCGGCTTTTCAGGTATGTAATACGACTTCTTCAGTTTTTCTTGATTTCAATTGATTTTTTTACTGAAATAGACGATGAAATTGTCTGTTGATTTCTTAAAATTCGTTTTTTCTAGATAGGTATGCAGTGTTTGTTTGATTCTAGAAAGGTCAAATGCCTATCAAAATGGGTGAAATTTGTTTTCTGAGTTCACGATTTCATGAATTAGAATACTATTGTTCCTTGTTTAGTGCTTTTTGAAGCTTAATGTCGGGACTTATTGCTGCCAAGATCTGTTGAAGATTTATCAGTTTCTAAAAGGTCACGCTCAGATTTGAGCATATTGTTATTGCTGCCAAGATCTGGTAATTTGTTTTTAAGGTTTGTGCAGCCAGTGTCCGAAATATAGCTTCTTGTTCTTCATTACTGATTCCAACAATATCCATGGCTCTTCTAGTTTTTACATATTCATCTGCACTGCTTACACCTTCCAACTCATAAACTTTACTTTGGTTCAGGTAATGGAAGTTGCTTGGAGGACCTAGATTGTACATGTCAGCATCTCTTCCAGATGCACATAACTAGTAAAAACAGTGGTAGTTTCTTTCTAGATCTGTGATTTGGACTACACGAGATCTTTCAAGTAAGTAAGTTCTAATTGCAGCACCAGATATTCTACCATTTAAATCAAACTGAATCTCTACAAACTTTCCAAAGCGACTTGAATTGTCATTTCTACTTGTTCTTGCATTTCCAAATGCTTCTAGAAGAGGGTTTGATTCTAGGACTTGTTGTTCAGCTGTTCTGTCATCAGTTCACTTGCCATGGACTTTGGTCTGGTTGCAAAGACTCTATCGTTTGTTGTTAAGCACTCTTTAGCCATCTCTGAATTGCTCACAACTAGGACTCGATTAACCCCAAGTTTGATGGTGAATATTGGTCCAAAATTGTGGGCCATAGAGCCTAAGAGTTTGTGAGGAACTTGAGAACCAGATAAAAGATAGATGTGACCAATAATCGGCCATGAGCCTGGTGCTTCAGGTGCTGTCTTTCCTAATCCTTTGCTGCTTGTGTTAGCTCGACTTTTTACGTTAAATAATTGCTTATTATGAGTCATGATGTTGTGTTTAATGGCATAAAATACATGAATAACAAAAAGCATATGAATGGTTGAAGTTTGGTTCGGTAACAGATCTGTGCTAGGTTATACTGTTTTAGTTTTCACTGCACAAAGCTTCAATCTTTAAAGAACCGAACCTGTAAAAGGTTTTTAATCTTTGTTTTTGCAGGTGGTTGTATGCAGCTTTGTTTATGGTAATAACAATTCAAATACAAAGACTAAATATGAGACATACACACCTTTAAGAGAGGAAAAGAGTCCTGTTGTGCAGCTGAATGAAGCTCCTACCAGCCAACAACATGCGGTTGCTTGGCCATCAGATCCCAGAAACTCCCAGCATACTGAGATTGACCTAACCCGTGGATGATGATAATGACTGTATAGGCGCGTGTTGTTGTAAATGCAATCAATGCCTCCGGTGAAAAACAAACAAGGAAACACAGATTTGATGAGGAGAGTGGTGTTAATATGAGTTTCATCCGACAGCACAACTGGACCACCACCAGGTATTGTGTAGATGAAGTTTTTCACAAAGTAAATACACAAACATTTTACTCAATTTCTTCTAAATTTGATATATATATATAATCTGATGCGAGTAATTCTTTTTGTTGCATTGATAGACACTGAATGAGTTCATCAGCATTGCTGAGTCAGAAGTGGGGTCCGTAACAAATTTGTATTCTGTGGTGGTAAGAATCAAGAATAACCCTTTTAATTATTTTTTTTAAATATATTTTGTATTATATAATAATTTTTGTGTTGCAGGATAGAAATGCCGATGCATTGGCCTTATATTTTGGTGAAGATCCTGCTCGTTGCCCTTTTGAACAAGGTAACATATTTAAATCACATGTTCATTTATAAGCAATAATAATAATAATTGCTGAATTACATATGTTTGAAAGTATAAGAGAAGAATGATGGTTTATGGCTATGGTTGTGCAGTTATAGAGAGGCTTGTGAAGTTTGTGAGGGTGTTTAGAAAAAAAAAAGCTCATGAAGAAAACTTTAAACAGGCTGAAATGGAAAAGAAGAAAGCCCAGAAAGAGTCTGAATGGCGTTTTTCAAATGGTGTAAACAGGCTGAACTGGAAAGGAAGAAAACTGTAACATTATTGCTGCTTTAGCTGCATTGTCAACTTTCAGAAGGCCTGAATGTACATTTTGAGGAGAAGATGGTCAACAACTTATTATACATCCACCTGATGTAATTATGATATAAAAATAAAACAAAAAATATTTATTCATCATTTCATATATCTATAAAATTCAAACTTGATAATAATCTTCAAAAAACCACAGGCGAGGGAGCCACTTCCATTGATAATCCACCATCTTCCAGTTGCAGTAACATTTGGATTCATTGGTAAAGAAAACACTATGGTATGCTACAAATTGAATTTTAAATAGTATCTTGTTATAAATCATATACTATTTTCTCATAATTTTTAATTAGTGATTTACTGATTTTAGGTGATTGACCCAACACACTATGAAGAGACTGTGATGGGTGGATCAATGACTACTACACTTAACACAAATGGTGATGTTTGTGCTATTTATAAAGCTGGAGGTGAGGGGGTCCCACACAGTGTTACCATGCAGTGTTTGCGTATTGCTTCTGTTAAAGCTGATGATATAACAAACAAGATAAAGAATTTTGTGAGTCTCTTTAAATAAAGTAAATTTTATAATTAAAAAAAAGTAATTTTTGAAGTGACTAATTGATTTATATATATATTTTCAGGTGGAATCATATAATACAGAAAGGTCATTACGGAAAGTCAAACGTCACAATCCTTCAACTATTGTGATTGAATTTGGTCAACAGGGTTGTGGTGACGTGGCAAAACATCATATGGAAAGATTAAATTTGGGTTCGGATGAATCTAGTGTAATTAGTCATAGTGATGACGTGGAAATTGGAAGAAAATTAATCAAAAATGATAAAATGGAAAAGAGAAACATCACTGCGAAAGGCTCTAGTGGTGGGCCCGCAACTTGGTATGGTTTTGCATATGAAATTTTGAAGTCTTCGTTTTTAATATTTTACTATAACACGCCATTTCAGGCCCACTATTTCTGTTTCTTATAACCTAGCCATTTCAGGATTGTTGATTAGTCAAATCCATTGAGAGATGCATCAATAAGGCTAACAGTGCTGAACTTAACCTATTTCTAGAAGTAGAAGTTGGACTGGTATGATCTCACCCATAACATATTATGTTTTGATGTCCATAATTGAAATTGATTCAACTAAATACTGTGTAGTAATATAAAAAGTTAATTTTTTATAAAATTGACCTTTTGACTTGTCAATGTAGGATTTGTTCCCCATTCCTCCACCTGCGAAGACTAAGGAGGAGATTCTGCTTTTCTTTAAACTTTATGATCCTTTAAAAGAAGAGCTTCGGTATCCTCTCTATCTCTCTCTCTACATTGGTTGCATTCAAGAAATAACAACATACTTTCATCAACTTATTTACAATATCATTGTACTTTTGTTTTCTTAAATTCTC